ATATATATACACACATATATATATTTTCTAGAATTCTAGTAAATAATAATAGTTGGAAACGATAAAGTCTAGTTTCTCAAATCCACGAAAATTCCGGTCCTCATCAATGCAGGAGCGTTGTTACGCACATTAATGACATAATTAACCCTCAATTGGTGGCGTGCGTCACTTACGCGGCAATTTACCAGACAAATTAATCGTTTTACATAAAGAGCATCGATTAGCTCTTGTTACGCCGTGTTCGTTCGTATCGATGAACAAAAAAAAAAGGAAAATCATTCGAAAGAGTCCACGCGCGCGCGCACGGACACACGCGAAACGATGATGTCATAGGAGAAGCGAAGGGCTTAACGAGATTGAAGTTTACCGTCCTTCTCGGACACGTTCGGAAAATTTACGAACGAGATCTGGAAGAATGAGAGTCAGTGAAAAGAAGAAATGTCACGTAACATATGCAACGTACACTGGCAAACGGACGTATTTTGACAATACCCGCAGTCGGAGAGTTACAAAACTGCAACGTTGTATAAAACAGTTAACACATTGACCGCTGCGTCAGTCACGTACGAGCGACACGATTCCTCGTTTTACAGTTAAAAATTCGTTTTCACGGTGACACAGAACGGAGCGAAGGAAATTTCGTTGAGACGGTTAAACGATTAGTCGCTGCGCGACATATGTCGACTTTTCAGTTTCCGGTTGATTAAATGAATTAGTGGATTGACAGTAGAAGTATCAGCTTCGGAATGTCCTCGTTCGCGAGAAGGAACTGAATAACTACTCGATATTCTCTGGACAGAATTCCTAATACATAACTGCGGTGACCACACGGTTATCGTACATATATGCACATGTATTATTCTAGCACGTAATCACCGAATGAAATTACTTTAGACGCCACATGTCGAAAACCGAAACTCGCTCGGAATTCTTTAAAAATTCACGGTAAACGAGTTGAATTTACGCGTTCGTAATAGAAAAAAAGAAACGAGAGTAATAATGGAACAATAATGTATATTCTAGCACGCAATCGAATGGAATCACTGTAGACGCGACATGAAAACCGAAGCTCACGCAGAATTATTTAAGAATTAACAGTAACCGAGTTGATTTACGAGTTCGTAATAGAGAAAAAAACGAGAGTAATTAATGGAATAGGATATGTATATTCTAGCACGTAATCGAATGGAATTACTGTAGACACGTCGAAAACCGTATCTCACCGATGATCCGTTAAAAATAATCCACGGTAAACGAGTTGAATTTATTTACGCGTCCGTATTCGAGAAAAAAGAAAGAACGAGAGAGCAGTTTAATCGTGCGTGTGTGTAACGGGTGAAACTGCGGCGAGTGATCACCGGGGTACCGCGTGATCGAGATGTCGAATGCGGAGCGCCGCTGCGATTGCCGATCGTTAACGTTAGAAAGGAGCCCAGCGGAGGCATTCGGGAAGACTCACCACGAATTTCGACTTTCGTTTGTAGTGTTTGCAGCCGTAATCGTGGCCGGCGGTACCGACGGAGGACGGTTCTTCCTTCGATGTGGACGCACGTTCGCCGACGGTCCGCGCCTCGTCGTTATTTTCCATCGTGTCGTCGTTTTGATTCCGAAATTCCTGCCTCTTTCTCCGTCGACGTCTCCTCCTTCCCATCGACTCACCCGTCCTTTCCAGATTTTCTCGTCGTGCGTCCGATTAACACCACCGGTACACGGTTTGTTTGTTTAATTAACACGCTGGCGACGATTCCGAACGGGACGTCAGCAAACGAACGGAAAAAAATAAAATAGAGCCAGAGCACGCTCGGAACACGCGGCCGTAACCCGTATTCACCGCCGGCCGCCCTTGGGGAGATATATTCCTTAGGCGAGCACGGAACGGACCCGTCAACCCGAACCGACGTGAAATGGCTCGGGCCTCGTGTGCCCACTCGCGAGCAACAAATTCCGCCTAGCCATCGTCGCGGCGCCGTGTATACGGCTCTCTACGTTGCGCGAATGGACGACGGATTATCGGTGCAACGGAGAATGTTCACGAATCCTATTAACCGCGATGCAACCGTTCGGGTAAACAGAAATAAAACCAACGACGGATATTAGTTCGTTCGCTGCGTCACGGGAAAGACCGCGTGTCGGTACGGTGAAAAGCGTCGCACAATTTCGGGGATAAGCGATCGACACTCGCCACTTCTGACACCACTTCGCTTCGCCGTACTATCACCACGGTGTAATGATTACAACGGCGTACTGCGTTTGGAAAAAGAGATGCAAAACCACTGCCGGATGCTCGAACGACGGGACGGGGTACTATGGCTGCGCGCGCTTCCGGCCCGCGAATATTTGAATGTGAATAGATTGAAAAGAATTTTGTTATAGGGTTACTGATAGAATAATTCTATGAGTCAATGGAAAAATGTTGATTCTGATATTAGATTCTGCGACGATCTATTTGCGATGAATAATATTTGCATATAATTTAATGTGTTACGGATGCAAAAGTACCTAGGGCATATAATGCTATTTTCCAAATTAATAAACATTTTGTTGATAAGATATTAACTGAAATAATAGTTAGTTTAGAATTATTATTATTATTATTATGGTATGTTGTTCTTTATGTGTAAAAATAGAATGTTACTGGTTTTTACTTCTAGGGAGATTTAACTGGCAAACTGATACCGCGGGAGCTCCATGTTGAATTCTATGTTGAATTTGATGTTCGTGTGTTGGTAACAGCTGTCGCTGGTAACACTGTGATAGGGTGCGAGGTGTGATAGTGAATGATGGGTGTTGAGCCCAGGCGAAGTCTGTGAAGTTTGATTGCGCCGATCGTTAACCGGAACGTTGTGTCCGTGCGTTGTATTGGGTGACATTGAAAGTGTTTCACAAGTAGCGCGAAATATACGTTCACCGATGTTGAAATGAAGCAGAAGCGCGTCATGTATGGCGACCCAGGGAAACTATGCGATAGGCACACGCAGTTCGCCCCGCACGGGCTCTGCGCTCCGTCGAATTAATGATCAATGGCTTTATTCGAGAAGCGATACACGAATAAAGTGCTACTAGATGATACAGAGAAGCTGACCAGCGTCATTGAAAATGCAAGAACGATCGACGGACACACGGTACGGCGCACGCTTAACGCGTATATACATAACACATCTGACATTTACTCGATAATAGGCGACGTTTACGTACGTCAGGCTTAGCAGAGATTTGGTATCATTGGATCAAGTGACAAGTCCCTTTTGTCCCGCGGACATTCTCGATCATTCTGTTACTCCTTCGCGGAATATTTTTATTTTTTCACGAACCGTACTTTGCAATTGTTTCTCGATATTTCTTAACCGCGAGCAATTGGCGCGGTTATGCGTTGTTTTTAGGAATTAATTTGTAATATTTAGAAGTTAATGAAACCGGACCGTTAACGACATTTTTGTAATGTTGATTTTTGTTAGTAATATATATATGTATATATTGGTGATGGATGAGTATTACGAATGAAACGAATAATACTCGATTCGATTATTGAGCATAATAAAAAGATGGCCTGCATTTGATTAACCCTTTGCAAACTACCACCGTATATATGCGTTTAACGGAAACCATCAATTTGGCCGAGGAACTCATATATGCGTTCGGCGAAAACAGCTGATAGCACTAATATCTTATTTATCTTCTGGAGGATCTGTGCATGTACATATTTACATATGTCTGTAGTTTGACATTTTGGAGCGCTATGAACGAAAATCGCGGTACGATTTACTCGAAACTACCTTGTGACCTGGTCCATATGAAAAATAACAGTTTTTTTTTGAGTTGATGCAACAGTTTTTGATACCTATGAAAGATAATACAGAAAATATCGGTTACAAAAGATAAAAGGAATGTTTCTTTTAATGGCTGCAATAAATTCAGGAATACGTGATCAGAACACAAAGAGGTCCATTACCAGAAAAATCTTGGAGAGTTAGCAGACGTTACAATGACTTTGTACAGCTTAATGCAACTTTATCAGTATCAGGCATTGATCTGTCTCTTCCTCGAAAAAAAATTATTGGTAATATGGAACCAGACTTCATAGCTCAGCGTCAAGTAGCACTACAGGTTAGTCGAAAGTTGTAATTAAACAATAAGAATTAATTAACAGTTAACTGTATGTTTCTGTTTTTCAATGTTTTCAGAATTTTTTAAACACAATACTAATGAATCCTATATTGGCATCGTCTCTTCCTATGAGAAAATTTTTAGATCCGGATAATTATACAGCACCATTACATGGTATAATATTTATATTTATGAGAAAGTCCATAATTCAAATGAGATTGGCACTTTTAATTAATTTTAATTTTTAGAAATAGCTCTGCAGCAGGTGTCACTAGCTCTACGCAGTGATGCAAATTATGAAGTTTGTAAAGCCATTCCTGACATGGGATGGCGGTTAAGGAAGCATTATTATACAGTTAAACATCGTCAGAATCCCAAACAAGAATTATTACTTGCATGGGTAGAATTTGGTCCGGATAAACATCTACCAGATAAAGATATGCAAGGTGTTTTTAAAAGCTTAGGCACTTTAAAACACAGCTATATAGAACCAATTGTTTACCAACATGTGACAGAAAATGGAGCTTTAATGATAAGAAACTTTTACCCGACGGGTACATTGCGCGACACTTTATGTGTAACTAAACCAAAACAACCGTTTATAAAAAAATATGGAAATCCAAATAAAACCAAATCTTTAACAGTGCCTGAAATTGCAATGTATGGTTACCAGGTTGGTCACAGTAATTTTACACCGACAATTTTTGCATTGATTAAGGCAGTTAATTAATAGGATTTAGGATTAACCGATTCTCTCAATATTTCAGATTTTGGAAGCTCTAGGATTTCTTCATGAGAAAGGCTTACCTTACGGGCACCTACATACGGGCAATATTCTTCTAACTCAAAGGGGTGCAAAATTATTAGATATTGAAAATGGTCTGTTAGGTTTGCCTGCATTTTATCGGCCTTACGTTGTACAAAGGCGTAAACTTTACGCAACGGTATAGTAATAATCATAATTCGTATATGTTGCGGCCAATAAAATTTGGTGAATAAACAAAGTAACCGTTTCCACAGACCCAGGTGGACGTTTACTCGTTCGGACATGTATTGTATGAAATGACGTTTGGAAGACCTCTTTTAGAAGCAACCTGCTCCGAATTACCATATTGTGAAGCGACTTTAAAAAATCTGCTCGAGGTGATCTTGTCGCCAGAAGATTTGAAGCAAGATTTGCCAACGATACCACGCCTATTGGACCATCCGTTTTTCGAATCAGCCAAACGTACTGCGCTAGGTGTTGGATCCGTTGAGAGGCCACACTTTAAGTTAAGTAGTCATTTAAAGGAAGCTCTACACGAAGCAGTGAACAAAGCAGAGCAAAGACTGAAAGATGAGCAGAAAGTGGCTAGGCATCAGAAAAGGCTCGCCAAAGTCCAAGAGATGATGAGCTCAGAAGAAGAAATGAAAAAACGGAAACAAAAACTGGTAAGTATCTTATAAGTAATACAATTAGGTGACCTACGATTGAAAATAAAATGAATCCTGCTATTTTTATAGAAGAAGGAACAAAAACTGGCACAGGAGCAACGTTCTGTGAATCAGTTGAGTACGAACGGATTAAAACAAGTGAACGGTAAAAGTCCGGAACGCTCGGATAGTCCTACAAGTACTTCCACAGCCACCAGCGTCGGAACGTTGACTCCACCTTCTTTGCGTGAGTATCAGATTGTTTAACAAATTGACTTCGTTAATAACTAACATTAATCTGGTCAAATTTTTATATTAGCTGGACACAAAAGTTGATGGCGCATACTACGCTTATTTCTCTCACGTAGGTCATATGATCATTCATTAATCATCCATTAATATGCATTCATACATCTTCTCATTTAACCATTGCTTGGATACACATTCAAAAACTATACCACAGGTGATCTCTGCGTAACACAAAATAAATTATGTTATTAAAAATGACCATATTATACGAATTCGTATCGTACAAAACTAAGAAAATTCTTTTGCCTTTCACATCGTTGCCAAGCATCATTAAACATTACCATGTTCTTTATTGTTATACAGAGGTTGTCTGTTCTGTATGGTTCTGTAGATTTTCTTTGTCATCCTTCCGAGTACGTATGCTCCCACCACCTGTAGACATTAGCAGTATATATAAATATGTTATTTAACAAAATATAAACGTTAATTAATATATAGTACGTGTCCAAGCGATGTCGTACGGTATCGTGAAGCATTACACTCTATTTAACTAATGATTTTGTTGTTGTGTCGTAAGGTGATACAGCCACTGGTAAAGGTGCTGTCCCTCCACCTCCTATACTACCATCTAATGACGTAGACGACAACGTCCAGCAGATGACCAATGAGCGAGCCGCTTTGCTCGGAAGTATTTGTAACTTCAATAAAACTAGTCTTCGCAAAGTTGCTAATGGGCCTCGTTGAGGCGGTACATTAGGGAATAGATGGAAAACCGATGAACAATTTTATTATAATGAAAAACGTGATCTATGTTACAATAATGCTATTTTTCTTCGTCGAACAGATGCAACGGTGTCTATAAATTTTATTTTGGTCGCGGTACTTGTAAGAGTCACAAGATTTTATTCTTTTTGAAAGAGTTTTAAAGATGTACACTCCATAGGAAAACGATCATTAGTGACGTTGAAAGAATTAATATATTTATATATACATGGTGTGATGAAGAACAATTACCAATTGAATATTTTTGAATCAGTTAATTATTTCTTCTTAGTATTGAAAAGATTAATTACTGTCTCACCATGTATAACCACATGAAAAATTTGCTAGAAACAGTTAATATTTGTCACATATTTAGCTGCTGATTTTTATTCTTTCAGTACCGTCCAGATTCGGATTGTGATTGTAGACGAATTAATGTACGAAAAGATTTTAAAAAGACGATCTTTTGTATATTGTAACTGTATATGTGTAACTGGACACGGTAGTCAAATAATCATGGTATTTAAAAAAGAATTTTTCTCTTGATTCCGTTAGAATTAAGAGTAATGGATTTTATTCGTGTAACGATGTCGCTTCCATGATTACAAATGGGTGATCTATTAACTGTAAGAATTACTTGCTCCAAGTCTCGCGATCATTATTTCCAATGGTTTCGTTTTATCATTCTGTTGTGAATCTTAAATAAAAAAAAAACAAAACGTTAAGAGAAAGAAATCGAGAACGATAATTCGTGTATGACCAAACCGACGACGTTCATTCCTGTCGCGTAAATTTCCTCTCGTTGAATGTATTGTACCGTTTCGTCTATTCAAAGTTTATGTGTAACGTATTAAATGTACAGCCCGATCGACATTTTCTGTGAATCTCGTTCGCCCCCCGTGAACGGATATACTGTATGTTGCTTTCGTTGTGTCGAGCCGTAGAAATCGGAGCCGTCCGTTTCTACGGCGACGAGAAAATGTGCCAAGAGGAGTATATATGCGATTTTTCAGTCGGTAAATAGGTATATTAATGGTAACGAACAACTGTAACCTATTTCTTATATATATGTCACAGAACAGTACATTTATATAGGTATATAAATATACATGTAATATGTATGAAAAAGAAAAAAAATGTCTGTGAATATTGTTACGGGAATTATGTAATATAGACGCGACTTTCATATGTGACGTTAATTTTGAAATTGTAACTTGTTGAGTTTTTCCGTGTAAATGCTATACTTCATAGAGTAATATAAATATTTGTTTTATCGAGAATTGTGAAATCAGAATAAAACGAGATCTATATTTATCAAGTAACTAACGATAAGACGACTCCGAGTGTACTTTAGAAATTTTTTAAACACTTGGGGGGGTAACGGAGATCGTGATCAAATTACACCATATCTCTGGGCTGTTTCGCAACAGACCAATATTATCCTAAATGTGGAAATTCATTAAAATAAAAAGTAACCGCGTTTAAGGAGAACGATCACGTTGTACTTGAGATAATATCTTAGTCCATAACAAATTTCAACACAGAAAAAAAAATAGATTTTCATGTAGGAGATATTTTACTACTCGCTACGAAAGTTTAATAAATACAAGGATATGCATATCTTTGCAATATTTTTATCATTCGAAGGATCTTTAATACTATATTATAAATTCTCAATATATCAAAAATATATATGTATGAACATCGCTGTCTAAATGTGTGATTGTAAATTCTGAGCAGTAACAACATGGCTCGAGTGTGCGCGTGCAATAGTTACACAACTACGTATCAAAGATTGTTGAATGTGTTTGGCTCTAAGGAACATTTCCCCTCGCATGTATCTTCCATTCGGAGTAAACGCCTTCCTTTTTCCGTACAATTGTATTTCGTCCGCGTGCAACGGTAGAAAAGTTTCTTCTTCTTCTTTCTTCGTTTTCCGTTCTTTGTTCTCGTTACACGTAAAAGGAATCTTAATTTTAATTATTACAAACATACGAGATTGTATTACGTTAACCGTATATGATCACAAATTATAGAGTTCCGCTAGGTCGCTGTAACCAAATGTCCGGAGACCGGCGATCGCAGGCGACGCGATGGCGAAGTTTTCCACTTTACGTTCGAGAGCTTTCGCGTTTTACGATTCCGTCGAAAATTTTCCTTGTATTCACAATCCGCACGAGTTTTTATGTAACATAGTTAGTCCTATGTACACATAAGTATGTATATACAATGCTATCCACGCAATTCTGTCACCGTGAGAACATACATATATGGCATTCTTAATTAAGTCTGGAGGACTTGTAATCAAATTAAAATCCGAAGTCAACTGTCATGAGCGTAGCTTGTTTCCCATTTTTCTTTCCCCGAAATCTTTTAAAAAAATCACTTCTGTCCCGACCTATCCGTTACATTGCACAATTACGTAAAATATTAATATTAATTGTCGTTTATAGGTGACTTTGATCCCCTCTAATAAAAGTAATTCCAGCGCGAGTGTCACCTATAGTCGTATTGTAATTCGATTTTAACCGTTATCTTCTCTTTTCATAAATTAAAGCTAATTGGGGTCGGGTGCGATGGACCCAATCGATCATCATAACTTCTCGTGGAGCTTCTCGGTTATCGTCTTCAATCTGCAACGAAAACAAATTCCTCTTCTTATTTGTAAATTCCATTTTTCGCCCCCCTCCCACCCCTTAACACTAGATTTACGGACGTTTATTCTAAACTTTATTCTTAGTTTATTCTAACTTTATAAATCGCGAAAATGATAACTTCAAAACCAGACTATCGCAATGCGTATTCGCATAATTGCACGAATCGAAATCGACTTAAACTGACACTAAATAAATAATTAAAAGATGCAATCAAATTGACGGGTTCCGTAAAGCTAGTGTTAAAAGAAAAATGGCTACCTTAAAAGCTCCTCTTGAATTCGATCCGTGATCGCTTTCCTTATTTCTGTTTCGCTCGCATTCGACGCACGCAACTCGCTTACTAATTGGTTAAAATCTATGGGGTCACCGTAATACAGGGTGACCTTGTTCCGGAAACCTAACTTGTACGGTGGCTCGGGAGGGAGAACTTGGTCCATTCCAAGATGATAGATCGGAATCACTAGGGGTACAACAGGTGATTCCATTATTAACCTCCCCACGCCCCACTTTAATCTACAAAACGAATGTCAGCGTGAAAAACTAATCGTGATTAATCCTCGAGTATTGGGTCGTGTTCGATGAAACGTCAGATTTCACAAATGAATTTCTAAATCGAAACATTTCGCGACAAACACCGTGTCCCTTACCAAGAAAACGCAAAGTCTCAAAGAGATAGGATCTAGGCGAGATAAAAATAATAACCAAAGGAACATTAATACGTTCCGTGCGTATTTAGGAAGGTCTTAACACTAGGTTTACTTATTTATTGTACACTTCGTTCTATTATTCCCAAAAGAATCGATGCTCGTTTACTTAGATCGTGGAAACTGGAGATTCGATAGTAATTGAGGTACACGTCAGTGTGATCTCGTCAAAATCGGCGTAGAAATTTACAAAATAATATTTCCAAAATCCAATATGCGTCAATCTAGTGTTAAAAAAACGTTACGACAGGGAATGTATGAAAGAAAATCGGACATTTTGTGTTACACGACCCAATCGAATATAAAATGGCGAACCTTATGTTCTCTTTAAGCATGTTGATCTTCCCTTCGGGGAAAACGTGCACCCATCCCCCGGACGCCAGCTTCTCGATGCAGAAATCCATCGCTTCCTGATAGATTCCGGCACCTCTGACTACCGGTATACACTTACCCAGCATAAAGAAGTAGGAGTGCCAGGCTTTCGTGAAACAAATGTCGTGGGCCGCGAGCGACCATCTGACGATGCGTCGCTTCAGGTAATGCCTCAGGTCCAGTGACGCTAAATGAGTTCAGAGATTTGTCTGTCTTAAAATCTTTCATTCGATCGCTTATCGACGTGTCGTTCTGAGAAAGAAAAGATTACATGTGTCTCAGGAAAGGGGAACGTGACAGCGTGTCGCCGACTTAATTCGAATACTAAAAATCGGGGCTCGTGTCGCGTTAACGTTCGTCGGTGCGTCGGGGCCTCTCGGTTGCTCACCGTGTTTCCCCTTCCCCCTCGCTTTCATTCTTGAATTATCCATCGCGTTGAGAGTTGCTCGACTCGTTAGCGATCGAACTTTTGTCCCTCGTGTAGGTGTTCTCTAATCAGAATTCACTTTCCTTGATAACGATACGGATTCTTAATGAATCCGTTACCTCGAACGTTTACACCAGCGAACGAAATCGTTCCGAATTTTGCTACCGAATTCGTTTTCTCGAGCGAATCGGTAAATGATTCTCCTCTTACGTGTCGGTTTCACTCTGTTCAATCGGTTGAGGAAAAAATTAGCGATGTGGTATGCAAGTTGATGATGGAAGCTTTGAACGGCCTTCGGGGACCAATCAATTTCGAGTGGAAACGACTTCGTTTTTGATAGACTCGTTGGGAAATGTATTCTAATCGGTGGCTCGTAGTTAAAATTGGTGACGTTGCTCCAGGAAATTTATTGTCTTTGTTTTCAAATGTTCGGGGGATGGCTACTGACGTTAAGCTTGACACTAGAACTACCAGGGTCGAAACGACTTACTGATTCCTTTTGCAATGATTGAAAGGGACGTTTCCGCGGAAAATGATTGACGAAACTAATTCGGTAGTGGCAAAACTGAAATACAAGTTGAAATCTTACGTTGAATGATCATTCATTTTTGTTGCGATGCAAAATTATGTTTAATAAATTAAAATAAGTTTGCTGAATGCAACACTGAAATTTATAAGCCACATTGTCACGAACTTAATTCTACAGAACTTTTTGAAATTATGCATTTTAACCCTCGGAGTACGACGTTTGAATTTTTCCTATTGTTGCTCATTAGAATTTACTGTCCGCGAAGTGAGATGAAATTTTGATATTTCAAAGACTAAGTCACGGAAGAATGATTTAATTGCTCGAATAGCAGATCAACGTAGTTTTCTTTTGTTCTATCAATTATGCGATTGTTATATGATTTAGCTCCGTCTGTTGAAGGTTTTGTAGATTTCAAAGAATCCTGGTAGTTCTAGTGCTGATTATATGTTGTACCATTATAGAGAATTAAAGAAAAGAGGACTGATTACGTTAAATGTTATAGATAACATCAAGTGGAAAGTGTGTACACGCGAGCCGCTACTGATTCTAACGACAGCCGAAACAAAGAATTCGAATTTCGAGCGGAGACGCGACAGCGAATTTACGGACACCCGGTGTACACTGTTGAACCGCAAGTTGCGAAGGTGATTGGGCTTCTTGGATTACAAGAGACGACGTTCGCATTAGAATCCGGGAAAATACGGTGGCATTCAGAGATCCTTTAGCACGGTTCATTGTTTATGATAATATTGCATGAGAGATTGATACCGATCGATGGAACAGTGTCGTTCGCTAAGCAAAGAATAGTCGACGTTACAGATACACTAGAATTCCATTTGTTATGCCTGACAATGAGCTCTAACTATAGAACACAGAATGGTCCCTCAACGATTAGTATTGTTACTAAAGCCCCGCCTCTAACATGGCAAACTAGATACAACGGTCTCTTGATACAACAGTTCAAGGTTCTCTCAAGGTCAACACTACTATCTACGAATCCCAATAAATTTATCTAGAAGCGAGAGATTAGGAACAAGAAGGAAATCAATTCGATGTAGATTTCGAATAAAGAATATTCCATCAACTACGCAGCCATTGAGAGATAAAACTACAGTTCAAACGATTATACGTATCGATTCGAAAAACAATGTGCCTGCGAATCTTTCGTGACGTTATTTTAGGGATTCTAATGGCGCAGAGAACGATAAGTAAAATGTTTCTCTTTAACACGTTGAATGCCGTGTGGGTCACCGGTGACCCACAATCAAATCGAATTACTATAGTTCAATTAACCCTTAACCAGATGGTTTTGTAATTTATCAACTGCGAATTTTTATGGTATCTCTAATAAAAATGAATATAACATTTCTTCCATCTTTTATTTTCCTTAGTAGAAAATTTGGATGTGTGGAGAATCGAATAATTTTGGGGTAGTTTCTTTGATTCGTTAAAATATTTGATAACTGGTGCAATATTGGAGACTACAGAGTTCAAAGGGTTAACCCTTAGCACTCCAGATTTTGTAATCTATCAGCAACTGCTAATTTTTATAGTATTCTTAGCGAAAATTCGAAATGCTATATTTCTTCGATTTTTTATTTTCCTTAGTAGAAAATTTGGATGTGTGGAAAATCGAATGATTTTAGGGTAGTTTCTTTGACTCGTTAAAATATTTAATATTGTAACTGGTGCAATATTCGAGCCTACAGAGTTCAAAGGGTTAAACTACATTATAAATAATGCTAACTAACTTGGTGACATTCAGCTAGAATGAACCTGCAGTAATAACAATGCAATTCAATCGAACAATTTAACTCTCTATAGGCCGAAATTTGGTTCATGATTATAACAACGTCTACGCAGTAGCAAATTAATAAATATCCACGTATGAATACGAATTAAGAATGTATTCAATAGTTTCTCACACATCCAAATTGCAAAATGAAATAAATCAAGAAGATGCCAATGTACTGATACGTGACTTCAAAGACACACGAGCCTACAGAGGGTTAACATTATATTCCTTCCTCAAGTATCTTATCCCATTAAATCGCGCGGCATTCAACGTGTTAATGTCCACGACGAAAGAGATACATGTTTTGAAGGTGTTTTATGTTTGCCGCGAGGTCGAGGAAAACTCTCCTCCGATTTCCAATCCTTTTTACGATCGTTTAACGCGTGACTCGAACGGTTTCGGGACCGTTAGAGGACCGGCAGGCATGTCCTAAAAGTCAACGACAGGTGCGTATAACAATGGAGTTCCACTGTAATCGTCGGTGAATAGTTTTGGAGAGACTTACCCCAGATGCCCGGATCGTCAAAGCAACTGTGGTGATTCGAGACGGTGATCAGAGGGACATTTCTCGGCCGGCAATCTAGAGCTCGCCTGATAATATGCTTGTTGTACACCGTCGTTCTGTTTAGCCATTCTTAAACAGCACGAATAAGAAAAGAAACGCTTTGGTAAATTAACTCGCATCTCAAGGAGGGGAAGGGTTGGCAGCGGTGTTTTAACAGCTTTGGAATGCGTTTAACTATTGTGACCGTGGTAGGACGGTTTTTGCCCGGGACTCTACACAGTGCTGACGGTTTTTCTATCGCGTGCTTGGCGAACCGCGGCATACGTTCACTTTAGCAGATACAGTAGATCCTCCAGTGCCCGAATGTAAACTGGAAAACGCAGGCGATACCTCCGTGGACTCGGTTTCACTGTGCACTCGGTACACAGAGAAGGAAATACGGAATTTCAATGAATATCAACCCTTTGCGCTCGAGAGGCGCCTTCCAGTCGCCGTTTGAACTGATCCAAGAAAATTGTAAAATAACAATTTCATTGAAACGAATATATTTTGTAACTTTGAAATTACAATGACGTTGAACGTAAACGCCTGTGTACGAAAGTTTAAGTTGGTTAATTATTTAATGTCGTTTGTCGTTTTGCAATAAAAAATTAAATAAGTCAATTTAACCATAAAAAAATTATTATCAATTAATACATAATATAATAAACGAACTCTATATCTCACTGTCAAAATAACAGAAAAATATAATATTAATATTCTTAGAAAATTCAATGTATAATTATTTCATTGAAACGAATATATTTTGTATCTTTGATTAATTTTATTAAGTTGATTAATCATTTAATGTTGCTTGTCGTTTTGCAATAAAAAGTTAAATACGTCAATTTAACTCGGTATATTGACGTGTGACTTCAAAGTCACTATAGAGGGTTAAATTCATTTCAAAGAATCTTGCCTACGTCTAATTAGAAAGTATAGAATGAGAAAACACGCATAAATCAAGGAGTAAAGATATTTTCCTCGAAGATTTCACGTATCGACGGATTGTGCGGAGCTTAATATTATATATGACCTGATAATTTTAATATATGCAATTAAGCAGTTACTGAGAGTCACCTGTCGAGCGCGAGGAGTTATTACCTAACCCGTTTAACAAGTTCCGCGCCACGGAAATGTCGATTATATTTTCCTTATAAGTTTGTGAACGTTTATTAAATATTCATATACACTTCTGAGAAACAGTGTAGACTGTGGGCCGAAGGTAAAATTTTATTAAACAGTCCCACTGATTAACTTGCGCATTATACAGCGTTTTAATAAGAAAGTCTTGTTTTTCTATTAATTTCGTTGTTTTACGATATAAGGAAGATCTACTGTGTCAAAATTCTAAGTTAAGTGTATTATTGTTCAACGTGGAATCGCCAGTTTGTCAAGACACTACTATCGAAAACAAGTGGCAGTGCAATAATATTATTCCTCGATACATTTAATTATCTTCGATGTATCACGTTTGAATATAAATGAATTCACTTGAAAAAATAAATTCGTTATGTTTAATGTATCGTCCGATTGCATCAACGACGCCGATAAGCATGGCACTGCCACTGTTTACGTGCTCAACAACACAAAAACGTGCTAATCCGACTTAATTACACGGACTGGCGTTACACGCGTGAGAATTCATTGAATTTAATTATCTCGAAAACGAAATTGGAACGAAGGTTAGCTGTTCTATGTTTTCCACTCAGTTTTTCGCGCAGAATTCATCTACAGCTTGTTACACAAGCCCACATACTCTCTTGCATAATGAAATCTCGTTTAAAATCATACGATTGCGACGACTGTAAAAATTATATGAATTATGTGAATAATGATAACTGTCGCAACACGAAGCGATCGTCGGGATGACCAAGAACGGGACAATAGGAAATGAAAGCAGAGCCGGGGAGGCGGAGTGGTGGCGATGACTCGCGCATGTCGCAGGTACGCGTCGAGCTAATTAAGCACGACCAGTGCGCCTAATTTCCAAAAATTCATTCTATCGCCGCTAAGTGAATGCTGAGCCGTCCTCGTAAATCAGTGGTACTCACTGAGAGGTCGGCAAGGGCCAATCACCGATTTCCTGTGCCCTTCGTTGGGCGGTAACGCATAGACAATTCTACCTGAAATGAAAAATTACCAAACACATCGCAGAGAATCGAATTGATTTGCAGTAACAACGTGAAACGTGGACGTTCAATTCCAAAGGCTACACGAGGTTGCATTGCACTTGGGTAATCAGGGAACATGCGACAACGGTCACATCGGAAGCATATTGTTTTATAGTATCCACAGTGAATTGTGTTCATTGTCTGTGATGAATGCTCGATGTCGTGTCATTTCTGGACGACATTAAAACAATGCATCGTTCGATATCATCCCCTTGAGGGAAGAAATATTTTGCATTCTTCATTTCAGAACCTTTTGCTATGTATTACATTGATCATTGTAATTGGAATCAGATTTAAAGTTATGGAAGAGTTACATCCCCAAGGATTTCAATGATTTTTGTATATGTGGTAAAGTTGTCTGATGAATCTTAGATGTCACGTGATTTCTAAGTAAAAATATTCTCGATTTTTTATTTAACCTTTGCTACATATTACATTGATCATTATAATTGAAATCAGATTTAAAGTTATGGAAGAGTTGCATCCCCAAGGGTTTCAATGATTCTTGTATATGTGGTTGTCTGTGATGAATCTTAGATGTCACGTGATTTCTAAATAAAAATGTTCTCGATTTTTCATTTAACCTTTGCTGTATATTACACTGATCATTGTAATTCGAATCAAATTGAACCTGACGTTATGGAAGAGCTACATCCCCAAAGATTCAGATGATTTTTATATATATTGTAGAAATCAATACTTTGAATATTCTTCTAGATATATTACCAGTGGTTTCCTTGTTTCTTAAATGATTGACTTCAAATAAAAATGTTTAACACAAGTCTTGTAATCTGTCGATACGTGAAATGTGAAAATAAAATACCGTTAGTTAGTTTAAAAAAATGCCATCTATATCTCATAAAAATAAATTGAATATATCTAGTGACAAATTTTTGGAGTGCAAAGGGTTAAAGAATAATAAGTAGTAATAGTAATAACTATTAGTAATAGCATATAATAATAATAATAATAATAATGATAATAATAATAATAATAGTAGAATAGTAATAACTATTCAAAACGCTAGAAAGATTTTCGTGGCAGTGAAGGTGTTAACTATCTTATGAAGTAAAAGCGTGAGCGAAAAGTCAACCCCACCCCGGAAAAGTCAACGAGACTAATGCCAGTCTCAATTATGTAAATTCGAAATGAAACTCATTTCTATACATTGAAAGAAACTTCGAAACCTTACAGCTGAAATAAACAATAGCCAATCGGGTTTAACTTTGTTTATAACTTGTTCTACGATCATGACACGACTGAACACTGCCAGTATTATTATAATAAATTCCGTTTATAATTTTGCACTGTCATACAGAATGCATTTGCGTTACGACGTGTTTGTTGTAAACATTTCAACCACCAACCGATATCGTCGGTTACAAGGATAGGAAAAATTTATTTAACCCTTTGCACTCCGTAGGCGCCTCTTAGTCGCCAATTGATTTGACACAAAATTATAGGGTTTGACATTTAATATTAAACTTCGTACGACGCGTCGACATGTGAAATATTAACCCTCTATGAGCCGAATTTTTTTTCATGATTATAACAGAATCTATACAGTACAAAATTAATAAATATCCACATATGAATACGAATGAACGATGTAGTTAATAGTTTCAATAATTTCATCAAACGAAAATGACGTTAAACTTTCACGTCCGAGCGTATAAAAGTTTAAGTTAATTGATTACTTTATTTTATTCACCACTTTGAGTGCGAAATGAAATAAATCAACAAGATGCCAATACACTGATGTGTGACTTCAAAGTAACGTGGGCCTATAGAGGGGTAAAATAAAACAGCCTCTTCCTTTAATTTATGCACGATTTCTCGTTAAGTCGGTTTGAAAGAATGTCGTTGGTATTTCATTAAAAAACCTTGAGTATTTCTAACGAGAAACTTCTGGAGTGCAAAGGGTTAAATAATTTCCACAATGTATCAAAAAATGATCCGAATCGATGACGTAGCTTTTCCATAGGTCGACCAAACCGAACGTTGAATCTGGATCGTAAGATCGGAAAGGGTTAATTAATAGTCATAGAGGATTTTACAGAGGTAATGATTGTTTTCGTTTGCAGGGCATTCCCCTCGGCGAGGGCAATTGGGCAAATTAGTTGACGAAATTGGAAATCTCCGTTTCATGCAGTGGTACCGTGCAGTCAGAAAACCATCGATTACCATTACTAGATTTATAACGTAACGAGAACACATTGCTTCTGGTCAGTGTCTCGAGCAAATGACCTACAATATGCGCATACTTTCGGTTTCCTTTTAGGAGACACTCGAACGCGCGGGAAATTTGAAATGTTGCTTTGCACTGGCGAGAAGACGTGGGAAAGAACAATGGAAATAACGGTACACGTAAAGCGAGAACTGGCATGAGAATCTGGAATAAATATAACAATCTCTACGCGTAATTGCGTGTCACAGCTTCATGTTAAACGTAAATATCAACAAACGTGATGATTGCAAAGAAGCGTGAAATGTTTGATTAAAAGACGTTTCCTCTATTCATATGTATGTACAATGATTCACAATGGTCGCGTCACTCTCAAAATTGAAATCGATAAGATCGATGCGATTTGCGATAAAGCTGCGATAACATGCAATGATGTACACCGTGACCAACACATTGCAAAAACAATTTCACCATACGATTGGAATAAACTAACTATTATTTCCAAACGAAGTAAACAAATTACCGCTACGAGCAAGGAAATCCCTCGCGTAAAAAGGCGAAAAAAAGGTCCTTTGCGCAACCAAAAATGAGGTTATATAAATACGGAAAAAATCACGCGATACAGGTTCAACCGAATAGTTGCAATCGTTAAATCAGATCAATCGGCACGAGACGAACGACCTATGATTCTACCACACGCGATCGGTAATATTTACGCGCGACCGATCCGGAAATAATCAGTAATTTCCACGGGCGATTCGACGCCAGTTTCTACCTGCCATTCAAACGCGAATAATAGGGATCGAACTATAGAACGAACGCGCAGTTGTAACACGAGCCAATGTGTTCTGCTGTGAAATTAATGGGTCCGCGACACAAGTGAAGGACGGGTTATACGTCCCGTTGGAAATTCGAAGGAATCACCGGCGGCCGCGGTTACAACGAACGGGGAACGAGTAACGCAGAATTTTCACGATGAAACCGGCTCGTGCGGGTGCTTACCTATAATGATTTTAGAGAAAATCCCTACCGCCGCGCAGGTTATACTGCTCGCGATGTTCCAGAGCCTGCTCGGATCTCGGAGCTTCGGTATGATCCATTTGATGTCGTATAACATTGCACTGCCTCCCGCTAGCTGGATCCGACGTGGAAAACAGCGGTGCGGCACTTTTTCCGGACAATCGGGAAGCGACTTCCCCGCGAGAAATCGTCTACTCTTTCGTAACTTGCAACAACCATCTTCGTGCCAACTTCACGCCATATTTCCCGAGATTTGTCACGTGGTCGGCCGACGGTTGCCGAGCCCGGCCGAGCGACGCCGGCTATTGAATCATTTCGGTTGGGATTAAACGCGCATCGAACACTTGTTCTCGCCACGGTTAACGACGTACAAATGCATCCCTTGATTGGACTGATTGCAGCTCCCTTTCCTTCGACGACACAGCGAGCATCGAAAATAATTAATCGAGGATACACCGAACGATGGAATCTGGGAATCGCGTTGGTAACTTTTACATGGAATTTTATTATATTTTCTATAATTTGTAAGATTCTAATCTAATTAGATGATCCGGGTAATCAGCGACGAGTATTTAGAATATTCTCGGTATTACAGGTTCAGGTATGCGAGAATGACGCTGGAGTTATGCTGATAATGACCTTTAATTTTTTATGAACGTTATGTAATTGAAATTGTAATCGCCATGCTCTATAGGTTAGCCTGCGGAAGTATTCAAATGAATTTACCGCGGACGATGAGGTTTGACCTTGGCGGGATTCTTTGTCTGACGTCATAGAAATGTGTCGTTAAAGGAGATTCTAATGTGATTCGCTATTTCAGAGATTGAAAGTTGTCATTATACTGTCCGTTACGAGATCCCACTTATTCACTTTGACGAAATGAGTTAATATGCTTTCACCGTTCGAGGGTCTTGTGAAAATGATGGTTTTGAAAGTGGCAGTCAGCGACACTTGTGTAGTTAGAAAATCTTCGTCACGGTTTTTGCTAGATCATGCAATGGAATTGCCCGACGAAAAATTTGAGTAAGGTATTGCCATGAATCCGATTAAAAAATTCAACTTTGAAATCTGACGAAATTCGTCCGTCATTCGTTGGAGAACGTGTAGACTTAACACTAGAACTACCGAGTACTTAGACAAAATTTCTTCGAGAGCCACAAGTGTGTAGTTACTGATTACAGTTAGCATCAATTTATTACCAAATCAGTTCCCATAATTACTCGAACAATTTTCAACAATTCTAAAGAAATCGGCTGGGTCACTTTGACCCCTCGTAGTTCTAGTGTTAACCCTTTGCACTCGAGAGGTGACTCAGTCACCACTTGACTTCCTGAAGCTATAAAGTTTGATATTTAACACCTGATTGAATTACATTGTTAATACTGCAAGTTCATTTAGCTAAAAGCCACCACAGAAATGTTTTCAAATAATCATCGTTCCATTGAGTGAACTATAGTAATTCCATTTGGCTGGGGGTCACCGGTGACCCCATGGCATTCAACGTGTTAATATTATACTTCATACAATGCATCAATCCGATAAATAATAAAATATCTTTTTAATTCCCGTGAATTTCACGTCGACTTGGTTTCACAAAACATCTTCATCTCATCAGAGATTGTTGAATTTCTAGTGAAAAACTTCGGAGTGCAAAGGGTTAAAAGGTAAACATAATTTCCACTGAAATCTCATTGAAACCCGTATCATTCCAGCTATCGAACAATCGTCACACGGTACTAAAAAGTATCATCGATAAGTAAAGTCAGCCGAGAAGCGACTATGCTGATGCATGCTCTACCAATCAGAAGTACAGGAACGCCTAGGGTCTTTCTCGCAGCGGTGGACAAACCGCGGTTAAGTACCTGTCAGTGTATTCGAACGGTCCCGACGACTACAAAAGCCAGAGATATAAAAAGAAACAGGGAAAAAGTATTAGGAGAGCAGGACGTGTAACGGCGCGACGTGCGGTGGTTAAATGGCGGCGATGAGAACCTCTCCGTTTCGTACACTCGATGAAAGGAGCGTTGTACGAACGAACGAACGAACGAACGAACGAACGAACGAAAGGGGACCGACGCGTGCGAATACCGGACAAGACGGCTGTCCCGTGTTTCGCAACGGTGGTGAATAAATTTATAGACGCATTATCCTAAACGGTGGTAAACGCGGCCTCGTTAGTGCGACTCGAAAATTGCGCGGGGTTACATTATAATAATCATGGCACGCCCGTAGCTGGGGTAATAGTGAAATGCCCAGCAGATCAGAGATAACCATTCACGGGACGAACGGATGCACAATAAGACATAGATGTCTACGAAGTTGTGCCTCCGGCGGTGACTCTGCACTTGCGATGTCAGACGAACACCTATCAGAAGCACCGGAGAAAGAACGCCCAGAAGAAAGGGGGGAGGATGGGAGACAGTAAGGATCACGCTGGGCTAGCTGGAATATTATTTTCAGCGGTGAATAATAAACAGGTTACTTTATTTTAAACCGTCACTTTCAAAGGTAAACACCCCGCGCGTTGTAACAATCTGGAATATCAGCGAGAAATAATTCATTAGAGGGATACTGAAGAATTACCTTGAAACATTCCACGAAGCGACGCTAAGTAGAATCTCAGTTCCAAGGATCGCAAGCTTCTAGATTAAAATATTCTATCGTTACCAATTACCAAAAATCCCTCGAATCTAGTTTAACACTAGAACCAGGTGGGTTAATATCACCTGCTTCTACAACTGCAGATTCTTAGAGAATGATTAACCAAGTTGATTAATACCTGAACTGAATAAGCCAATTGAGATCTTAAATCTACATTTGTAGTTTACGAAGAAACGTTGAAAA